AAATCTGCACCATCACAATCGACAACGAGAAGAACCAATCCTAAATCCACATTGATGAAAGTTGAACATAGTCCGAATGAAGCCAAGGAGCAGAAATCACCGCAACCTATCGTCCCAATCGTATCTTATGGGGGAAATGACCGGCTGCCGGACATACAGCTTTACAATCTTAAATCCCTCAGAATCAACAAAACCGACGAAGTACCGCATCCCACGCTCATGCCAGAGATGAAATCCTCAGAGCCAGACGAACAGGCGACAACTGTCACAAATCCATCCTCGGAATCAGAACAATCTAAGAAAGTCATGACAAACAACTTGTCGCTGACCAATTTGGCTAAAGTATTTCGAACTCAATTCCCAGCTTCTGAAGAGCCAGTAGATGTTCGTCGAGCGCCAGAAAAACCGGTGAATCCAGCAAAGAGACAAGCTGATCCATCTGCAGAAGACAAAACTAGAGAAGAGATTATCTACGACTTAGCAGAGGAGAAGCAACCCGAGCTGAAGATGGAGAAACCTGAAGAGGCGAAAAAGAAGTTGAATGCTGTACAAGAGCCAATAAAACCAGCACCAAACCCTGTCCGATCTATTGTTGTGGATCCTATTAGGCCTGTTAATGCCTAGAGATTCTTTTTTATTAACCTTCGTGTCACCTCTCTTCTTTCATTATATTTTCCTGTGATAAACTACTCTTTCATAATTTAGTTCGGCTTTTCCTTTTTCATTCTTTACTTTTGTGAAGGGCTTTGCAAATGTCAGTTCAATTGAAAAATCTGGAAATTGCCACCAAGGAATTTTATTGCAAGAAGGAAGCAGTACCGCTTCGAAATGTTACACAGACTGATTTTTACATAGGCCTTGAAGTGCTCAAAAATTAGTGGGTTTTGGTATCAGAGATGACCCTTGTCTAGTTTTTTACTTATTTCCTAGCTGTTCTATATATTAAGTTGATTCAAAAGTTCTGTCGTTTCGATTTTGAAAGTTCGTAATTGCTCTTTGTGTAAAGGCA